ATTTACAGTTTGCTAATTATGTATTTTCCTTCATCCTGTCCTCTTGTACTTTGCCTTTTCTTTACAAAGATGATGAACAAGTAGTTTGCCTAAAACTTAAGTTTTATAAATGACACTATCTGTTTCTGATCAATTCCCCTCTACACTTCCCCTTTTCATGTCCCTGATCATAGATTTTTATTTCCTTTTTTACTCTACTTCATGTTCTACCATCTGATGGAGTTTGTTTTGAATGTGATTACTTCCTTGCCCCTTCTACCCTCTCTCTTAAACCCTCCTTTCCTCTCTTCATGATCTAATCTATTTCCTTGTTGAGTTTATGTAATACTACATCGTGCTTTCTCTCTCCCTCTCCTTCTCTCTCTCTCTCTCTATGTGCGTGTGTGTAAGCATCTATGTGCATGTGATCAACTCTTTTTTTGTCTAAATTAGAGAAAGTGAAGTTCATGGGGTGCCCTTCCTCTATTTTTGTACACCTTTTCATCTCACATATCACATTATGTAAGAAAATTCCCTTTTCTTTTTCCTCCTTTTTCCCTAATGTTTTCCTTTTCCCATTTTTTTCTTCTCCTTATATCTTCAAAACAGATCATAACTGTCCCAGGCTCTCTTTCTGCCTTATTTAACTTTCTCTGATCCTTGAAGACATTAGGGTTCTGCTAGGATACTTCTTTCTTCTCCTCATAATAACATAAAAATATTTTATTTGTATGTAATCTTTTATAATTGATCAAATGTGTGTTCATCTTCTGCATTTCTATTTCAAAGTCTTTACTTAGTTCCAGCTTTTCATCAAGAATGCTTTTTTTTTTTTTCCTTGAGGTAAGGTTATTCTTGGTTGTAAGACACTTTCTTTTGTCTTTTGGACTATCACAGTCCTTTCTCCTTTCCTTAAATGTGATAGCTGCCAAGTTTGGTGTGATTTTGACTGTGGCTTATTGGTACTTCAACTTTTTTTGTTTGTTTGCTTGTACTATTTTTCCTTTGACCTGGAAGCTCTGAATTTTGGCTATGAAATTCTCGGGCATTTTCATTTTAAGGTTTCATTCAGGAGGTAACCAGTGTATTCTATTTTCACTCTGCCCTCTGGTTCCAAGAGATCTCGCAGTTTTCATTTATGAATTCTTCAAATATGGTATCCAAATCTTCCCCTCTTTTTTGCTAGTGATTTTCAGATAGTCCAGTGATTCTTACAGTATTACTCCTTGACAGTTCATATATATATATATATATATTATATATATATATGTATGTATGTATGTATATATGTATACAGAAAAAAAAATATTTTCTTCTGTTTTTTCAAAATGTTGATCTTGTTTTAAGATTTCTTGTTTTGTTTGTCCAATTCTAATTTTTAGGAAGCAAATTCCTGGGTAAGATTTACCACTCTTTGTTTTAAAGTATTAATTTTAATTTTTCTTGTCATTCTTTCGTCTCTAGTTGTTTCCATTTCATTCCTTCCAGGTTCTTATAGTTATTGTGGCCAGGACATTCTTTTCTCTGAAACTTTACTTGGACTGGTGAAGTTACTCTCTCCTGAGTTTACAATTTGGGCTTCTTTCAAGGTTGTTCTGTATTATATTCATGTTTTCTTTTGTTTTCTCATATGTCTCAGTTTCTGGATTAGGGATTGGTGCTTGGGTCAAAATCTGCCCCATATTCCTGGATGGTATTGGAAGGCCTAGTTTGATCCTAAGGTTGGTGGCTAAGGCTAGGCCCTGTTTTCCAAAGGAATTCTCCGGTCTTATCTTCCGCTTTTTCTGATCCAAGCTACTTGAATTTTGGGTGTTAGGCACAGGCTGCCAAGATGGCCCTGTCTCCTATCATTGATGGAGCTCCTGGTTCCCTCTCTCCACTAATCTCACTACACACACACTGGGTGCTACTCTGGCCCTGTCAAGTGATGTTTTGTACTTCACCTTTCCCTTTTCTTCTCCTTTGCTTTGCCATAAGATTCTGGCAGTCATTTTATAGAATTCTGGACTGGATAGAGGCATTATAACTGATTCTCTTGGGTTTTATCATTACTTCTAATGATGCATTTTTAAAGTTCTACTAGGGGATGGGGGAGAGGCACAAATCTGGGTTCCTCCAGGTCCTGATATGCCACCATCTGACCTACAATTTCCTGAACTCAAACTTAAAGTACTATGGAAGCAGCTGAAGCTTCCCCTCATTTGACAGCTCAACTTCTTGCTTTCACTCACCAACATGAAGAGATAATTGATTTTTGTCTTTTTCGTACCAAATCAATTCTGGTTCAGCACTTCCTAAGTTACTTTCTTGCTTCTCAGCCAATTAGTAGATTTTTTTTTTAATCATCACACAGTACCAGACCCTTAGTCATGCAAAGCTAGAAAGTTTCACCTCAACTTTCTATGAGGTTACTTGGACTGAAACTAGGTAGGGAAAGACCTTTGCATGTTAGAGAACAGCAGCAGGCAGAAAATATCTGCACAAGCTTTAAGAGCTGGACCCTCACTATGGTCTCCCAATTTTCCTTTTGAAATTGCCAGAACAGAACATTGTACTCTACATGTTCACTGACCAGAATTTTCACCTCCTTAGTGAATCCCAGGAATTTATTAGCTTTTTTTTTGGCTACCAAAATGGGCTGCTGACAGGGAATCTGAAGTTCATTACACACCCAAATCTTTTTCATTCGGCTGCATTCCCGTCTAGTATTTGTGAAATTTGTTTCTTGAATCCATTTATTTCTATTAAATTTCATCTTAATATTCAGCCCAATGCTCTAGCCTACTAAAATATTTTTAGATTCTGATTGCCATCCAGTGTTAGCTCTTCTTCTCAGCTTTATCATCTGCAGATTTGATAAGCATGTGACTGTCCCCTATGTCTGGAAAGCTCTCCATCCTTTATGCCTCCTGGCTTCCTTCAAGTCCCAGCTATAATGCTGTCTTCTACAGGAAGCCTTTCCGGAGTCCTCTTAGTTCTAGTGCCCTCCCTCTGGGATTATCTTATAAATACATACTTGATTGTACATAATTTGCATGCTATCTCCATGAGATTGTGAGTTCCTTGAAAGCAGAGACTTTTACTTTTCTTTGTATTCCCAATGCTTAGCACAGTGCCTGGCACATAGTAACCACTACTGACTAAAGCCTTTATTCGAGTCAATCATAAAAACGTTAAATAGCACAGAGCCAAAGGATTTTTGTTCAGTCATTTCAGTCATGTCTGGGTCTTCATGATCTCTTTGGAGTTTTCTTGGCAAAGATACTGGAATGGCTTGCCATTTCCTTCACAGGCTCATTTGACAGACGAGGAACTGAGGCAAACAGGGTTAATTGATTTGTCCAGGGTCACACAGCTGGTAAGTAGCTGAGGCCAGATTTGAACTCGATGAATCTTCTATCCACTGGGCCACTTAGCTGCCTCAGGCCAAAGGACAGATCTGTGGTAGCATCCGCTGGCATATTCCTTCTAAACTGACATTGAGCCACTAACAACTATTCTTTAAATATGGTTATTTGACTAGTTCCAAATCAATTTATCATCATCTAACCCATATCTCTCCATGTTTTCTACTAAAAAAGAGATTTTTTTCTATTCCTGTTGCTGCTACTCTTATCAACTTATGCTTAAATAACAGGAAGTGTCCTTATTAGTTTCTCTGCCTGAACCAAGCATAATCAAGATGGCTGGATTTGGACTCAGAAAGACTGGGGTTCAAATACAACTTAGGACATTAACCAGCTGTGTGAGCATGGGCAAGTTCCTTATTCTCTTTGAGCTTGTTTTCTCAGCTATTAAATAAGGGTGATACCTATAGTACCTACCACATAGAGGTGCTGTGGACTCAAATGAGATTACTTATTCAAAGTACTACATCAATTGTTACCTACCCTGACCCCACCATGCATTGTGACAACAATAGCATTTTATATCAGGTCACTTCCCTGCCCAAAAACTCTTAACAGATTCCCACTGCCACTGGAATGAAGTCTGGATTTTTTTTTTTAGGCTGTCACTGTAGGCCCATTTTAGCCATCCAACCACCTTATTACCCAGCAAGAAGTCTCTGTTCTACCTAACTTTTACCTTTGTTCATTATCACTACATTCTGCCTGTTAAAATACTATCTGTTTTTCAGGACCAAGGTTCCTTCCTCCATAAAGACTTCCCTAAGTACTCAAGTCCACATTCATCTCTTTCTTCATAGTCTAGATTTCTATAGAACTATAGAGTGTGTGTGTGTGTGTATAGTGTCCTATGGAGTGTAATCACTCATCTTGGAACTGCCTTGCTTCATTAGTAGCTCCATAAACTTACCTTATCTTTCTCCCCTGTACAACTACACTTGCCTTAAAAAGTGGAACTATATCTTAAATGCATTACACATTTTCCACAGTGCTTAGTCCACTTGAATTATGGAAGGCCTTGAAAAAAGGGCAGTGTAGTTTTGATTTGATGTCGTAGGCAATAAGGGCTAGAACCTAAATAAAGTAGTGACATGATGCCCACATTAAAGTCTGATTCCTCATCATGATATAAAGGTGACCCTCATTCAGTTCTTCAACACTATGCAAGTGAAATGTTAATAAGGCGAATTCAATACCTAATTGTTTTTTTTGTTTGAGAATTATATGTGAAACTGTAAATCTCTATTCCCTACTACTTAAAAAAAGTCTGTAATAAAGTAAAAACATTACTTTTAGAACTCTTTTGCTTCTCAGGGAGGCATCTAGCTTGTTGGCCTGTGCTGACACTGGATTTCCTATTCCCTATGGGCCTTTGGTTACCATTTTGTGTAGTTCTGGGATAGATAAAGTCACTTAGTGTAGTCTCTCATTGGATTTCATGATCACTGGACCTAGTGCTATTTTTAGGTTTTTAATGGAGGAGGTTTATGGGAGCTGAGCTGTTTGCCTCGTTCAGGTAGCCCTCTTGACTGAAAGTATCAATCTGCAGTTTAAAATACTTATTAGTCCCTTAGCAAACAAAAGTCCATGACTGGCAAAAAACAATAAAAAATAAAAAGTCTTCTATGTATACTTTATTCAACTACTGTCCCTCTATGCCAAAGTAAATCCGAAAAACATCAGCACATCCCCTGGCACTTAAAAATTGATAAAGCTGACCCAAATCCATGTGATTTCCTCTGTTACCATTTGTATCAAAAACTTTTTCTTCAAAATTAAAAAATTTTCTTTGTTTTTGCAGTTCATCTTGTGTGCCATCAAAAGTAATGTCTTCTCGATGGCGAATTAAAATTCTCTTCCACGTTAATCTTCGGAGTCTGGAAAGAAATTTTCAAAGAAAAATTTTTCCAAAATGTAAAACACATTCAGGTACTTTTAAAAATAAAAGCTATACGAGTAGAAGTTGACTTACCAACCCATCTTTCAGTGCAATGAAATGTGTTGATACTCAATGAATTAGCACGTGGTGGAAAGAGCATTGTACTTAGGATAAGGACAGATGATTATAGATTTAGATAGGGGAAAAGACCCTCATTTTAGAGATAAGGAAACTGAGAGCCATAGAAATCAAGTGATTTGCCTTTGGTTATGCAAAATGAAGACACAGAATTAGAACCTAGGTTCTCTGACTCCAAATTCAGTACTATGCCATTGTGTATGAGGGTTTGTTTGGTTTTTTAAGTTTTAATGTTAAGCCAGTTATTTAACTTCTTATGCTTAGGATTCTGTAAAATAAGGATGGCAATATTTGCAGTAGCTACTTTACAAGGTGATTGTAAATAAAATGTGAAATGATATATTCTATAAATACCCATTATTACAGAGACAGGATAATGTGCTGGAAAGAACACTGGACATGGATTCTGGAGATCTGATTCTAATACTGATTCTATCATTTGATAGCTGTATGATCTTAGACAAGTCACTTACCAATCTGTGCCTCAGTTACCTCCTTAGTAAAATAGGGATATTAATAGTTGCCCTACCTTTCCTTTAGGGTTGTTTCAAGAATCAAGTAAGACAAAGTATATGAAAGCTGTAAAAATATAGGTTGTTACGTAACTACGTAATAGATGTATACTATAGAACACTTGGACAAAAAGAAGTCTGAGAAACAGATCACAAGCCTGGCACAAAGGAATAATAACACTGTCTACCTCAGGACTGTTGTAAGAATCAAATGAGATAATATTTGTAAAGCACTTAACATAGAACCTGGCATATAATAGACACTTTCCCTTCACCTTTCTGCTTTAATAATTTCATTCTCGGAGAGGTGAAGAAACCAACAAGGAGAAATTCTATTTTGGAACTGGTTGCTGCGGTAGAATGATAGCAAAAATTGGAGGCAGGGTGAGGTGGGCATTACCAGCTGTTAGGATCCTAGTATTTGTGATAATGAAAAGGAAAGTCAAGCATAATCTGGCATGGACCTTAGATTCTGGGAAACCAGATTTTAAACTGGTTAGTTAGTAAAATAATAGATAGATAGGATCTCATGGACTAAAATTCTACAGAGGAATTCAGCTGAGGAGGGATCAGAAACTTGCATGAATGACATTCTGAAGAGAGAAAGAGAAACAATTCTAATCAGAAGAAAGTGAAGTTGTCTGAAAAGACTGAATCAGATGCACGAGGAACTGAACAAGCAGCTAGATTTTCAAAAGATATGTACAGAAGATGGAAGTGAGAGCATATAACCTAATAAATACATGAGCACAGTACTATCAGAATGGAATTAATAATGTTAGAGATCTGGAGGAGCTGAACCTGACAAGGAAAGCTAACAAATAGAAAAGATTTTTTTAAGCTATCTTGAGAAAAAGAGAGGGATTATGGTAGATAAAATGGAAATAAATGATAACTAACAAAAGAGAGAAGGTTCAGTTATTGTACTTTTTTCTCTATCAGACACAACCTTTGGATAGGAAAGGCCAGAAAACAAATGGGTAACAGTGAATTGATAGACAAGATGGTAAGAGAGCACCTGGCAGACATATATAGGAATTCAAATCACCTGGCCAAGATGAACTATGTCCTTGAGAATTCACAGATAATCCACAGAGTGATTTCTGAGTCACTGTCAGTGATTTATGAAATACTTGTAGTGAATGAAGGTTACTTCAAGACTGGGGTGTGCAAATGTCCTAAACTTCAAAAAAAGACAAGAGCCTAGAATCAACAAACTAGAGGCCAGGGAGCTTGACTTTGATTATTTGGAAAATTCTAGATCATTAGAATAATAGTTTGAAAACATATTATTGTGGGAAAAAAAATTAAGGGCTATGGGCTAGATGATAGCACAAGATGGATATGGAATTAAATAAATAGCCAGACTCATGTGCCAGGGAGCTGTGCTTGGCCCTGAGCTGTTTAACATTTATTTCTTCAGTGACATTTAGCTATAATAGTGACATATTTATCTAACCTATAGATGACAGAAAGCTGGAAGGGACAACTAACACTTTGAATGTTAGCTAGATAGTCAGAATCCTAGCAGTCTTGAGCTTAATCTAATAAAATAAAATCTACCAGAGATAAATGTTTAGTTTTGACCTGGGTTCAAGAAATCAACTTCACAAATGTAAGATGGGGGATATAGCAGTTTTTCTGAAAAAACTTCAGGCTCAGTATGAGGCAGTGTCCAAAAAAAAAAATTTAAAAGCTGATATGATCTTGAGCTACATTGAAAAGGACAATAGTTTCCAGCAATAAGGTGGTAACCGTTCCTATGTATTGTGTCTTTGTCAAACCACATCTTTCTGAAGTACTGTGTTCAATTTGGGTGCTATAGTTTCCAAAGAACGACCAGGATGGTCAAAGGTTCTATGTCCTAAAAGGTCAACTGAAGGAACTGGAGAGCTTTCTGTGGGAGAACAGAATAGGCAAGAGAAAATGAATGTTGTCTTCAAGTGCTGTCAACTGGAAGAGCTTACTAGACTTGTTCCATTTGGCCCCTGAGGGCAGAACTAGCAACAATGTATGAAAGTTTCAAAGACTCAAATTTAGGCTTGATGTCAGGAAAAACTTCTAAGAATTAAAGTTATTCATAAATGCAATGGATGGCCTCAGAAGCCAAGGGTTGCCAAGGTTACACTTGTTTCAAAAGGCAGAAGCTGGACAGCACTTGTTTGGTATCTTTGTAATAGTGATTCCTTTCTAAGAAGAATTGGACTAGATGGCCCCTAACATCCTTTGCAATTGGCACATTCTGTGATTCTGATTCTGTCCTTGAAACCAATCAAAAATATACCCACTATCACTTATTGCCAGCCTTCTTAGAGGACATTTAAAAAGATAAAAATGAATGTACTTTTCATGACCTGAAGGTATCAGAGCCAGGACAGAAACCAGGCTGTGAAGGCTCTTGTCTTTTATACTGAAGTGGTCTTTCCAGAACATAGATGGCTGGTCATAGTTGATTGTGAATACTTACAACTATGGAAATGATATTTATACTATTCTCTCAGCACTCTCAGTTTTGTAGGTATATGGCTTGTAAAAATATTACTAATTCAGATGGGATTTTAGACCTAGAAAGAGACTTTAGATATCTATTCCAGTAGCCCACAGTAAGCCTTGACAATCCTAAGACCCTAGAAATTGGTATACTAATAAGATACCTGTTTATTTAAAAAAATTAAAAACTGATTAAATCAATGTAAAACCACTATCAAAATAAGTCCAGATTCAACCTTTCAGTTGAAAATGCAGCATGTCAACTCAATAAACATTATTAAGCAGTACACGCAAGGCAATAGGGAGCATGGTGTAGTAGATGTAAGATCTGGATATAAGACAAGATTTGAAGTAAGGAGAACCTGGTTTAGGTCCTACATACATTAAGTTTGTGACCATAAGCAAATCACTTAACTTCTCATTCCCTTTAACTAAGACTTTAAGTGGTAGACAAGTTGCTGATCAGAATTGGTGGAATTACCCACACTAATGACATCACAGGTCCAGTACCAAAATATGCATGCAAGATGATAGTAATACAAAGAAAGATATGTGAGCAGCTTCCAATCTAAGGAGGGTTGAGGTGGGATGGGATATAGTAAAAACATGTACATGAAGAGTTAAAACACAAGGACAGGTGAGAAAAGTACAAAAGAGAGATCTATTTTTCTATCCTTAGTGTGCTGCCACGATCTGATTTGTTCTTTCTTTTTCCTGCTAAATAGCCCAAGCTCCTCAGGAGCTCAGCAAAAAGCAAAGATGTAGCCACCTTTGCTGAACTTGCATTCAGATGATGCATCTTTGAAGTATTACTGTTGGTAAGTGGTACTGCTACTTACTATCATTATTGTCACTCCCTAAGCTAGAAGAGGGGCTAATCTAAGAGCTAGTTTATTTTTATGTGAATTTTTTTTCTTTACCTCCATTCCATGGCTGACCTAAAGGCTAAAGTGATCAAAGTTACACAATTAAGTTTGCAGTAGAGCTAAAACTACAATCTATCTGAACTCCTAGCTCAGTGTTCTCATGATGAGTGAGTAACCACTTATTTCTAAACATAAACCTAGATTTTTCCCACCATTTGCCTCCTCTAAAACTACTTTTGTGCTGCTGAATAGAGGTAGAGACAATCATACAACCAGGCTGCGTACACTACAAATTTAAAATGTCTAACCTTAACAAAGGTCTTACTGTAGCATGGCATACATTTTGTGCCTATCTGATTGATTTCTTATTTCCCACATCTATTCCAAACCTTTGCATCTTTTCAAACCTCTCACATATTTTCTCATCCTCTCAACTGAGAACCTTAACTCTTACTTGATTAAGAAAACTGGCCCATTTGCTGCGAGCTCCTTTCTTCTCAAAATCCTTTGATTTTGTCTTTCCATTCTCTTTTCCAAACCTCCACTCTCTGATGATGTGGGCCTTCTTACCAAGGTCTAAATATGCCCTCAATCCCATCCCCTCCAAATTTTCCAGCAGATTGCCCTACTTAATCTACAGTCTCTCTCTCCTTATTGACTCCTTCCCTACTACTTTCAAACATGCTCAAATCTTGTCATCCTTCAAAAACAAAAACCAAACAAAACTCTTTGCTATACCCACCATGCCCCTCAAACCATTATCCTATTATCCTCTTCCCTTTCTCAGCCAGCCTCCTAGAAAATGCTCACTGCACTCACTGCCTCTACTTCTCTTCTCACTCACTCCTCCACACTTTGCAATCTGCCTTCTGATTCTATCACTCAACTGAAACTGTTCTGCAAAGTTACTAATCACCTCTTAATTGCCTTATCTTACATTCTCGGTCCTCATCTTTCCTGACTTTTCTGCTGCATTTGATACTGTTTATCAATCTCTCCTCCAGGAAACTCTCTCCTTTCTGGATTTTCATGACCCTACTTCTCTCCTGGTTCTTTCCCTACCTATCTAACTCTTCCTTCTCAGTTTTCTTTTTGGTTCAACTTCCATATCAGGACCTCTAATTATCAGTGTAACCCAAGATTCTGTCCTGGGACCTCTTTTATTTTCCTTCTATATTCTTAGTGACCTCATCAGTTCTCACAGCTTATACAGATGATTCACAGATCTATATATCAGCCTAAGTTTCTCTCCTGAGCTTTAGCCCCATATCAACTGCCTACTGAACATTTCAAACTGGATGACCTAGACACATCTCAAATTCATCATATCCCCAAAAGAACTTATCATTTTACCCCCTCTTCCAACTTGTTCCTCTTCCAAATGATCCTATTTGTTAAAGGCACCATCATTCTTTTCCCATCTTCAAGGTTCATAATCTTAGTGTTATCTTCAACTCCTCATTTTCACTCATCCCATATATCTGTTCAGTCACCACATCTCACCCTTTTCTGTTTCTACATATCTCATGTACAACTCCTTTTCTCTACTCACATAGCCACCACCTTACTTTAGGCCCTCATTGCTTTTGTGTGTGTGTGTGTGTGTGTGTCTCGAGGCAATTGGGGTTAAGTGACTTGCCCAGGGTCACACAGCTAGTTAAGTGTCAAGTGTCTGGTCTGAGACCGGATTTGAACTCAGGTACTCCTGACTCCAGGGCCAGTGCTCTATCCATTGCGCCATCTAGCTGCCCCGGGCCCTCATTACTTTTTACCTAAATTACTGCAATAGTTTCCTAAATGGAGTCCTTGTCTCAAGTATTTCCCCTCTTCAGTCTATCCTCCACACAGCTGAAAAGTGATTTTCTTTAAGTACAGATATAACCATTTACTCCCCTCCTCAATAAATTCCAGTGGTTCTGTTAACTCTAGGATAAAATATAAATTCCTCTCATGGGTTTGAGACTTTTCAAAATTTGGCTTTAAGCATTCTTTCCTTTCTCATTATACATTGCTCTTCTTCCAAAATTCTATAGTTTAGCCAAACTAGCCTTTCCTCTTTTCCTTCTACACAGAACTCCATCTCCAATTTCATTGCCCTGGTTGCCCTCAATAGCTGAAATTACTTCCTTCTCACCTTTATCTCCTAAGATCTCTCACTTCCTTCAAGACACAGCTCAAACACTACCTTCTATAGGAAAACTTTCCTGGTTCCCCCAACTGCTAATGCCCTATCTCCCCTATATTTATTCTATACATACTAATATGTAAATATAGGATTCATATGTACATGCCATCTCCCTCCATAGAATACAAGTTCCTTAAAAACAACAAATATTTAATTTTTTGTCTTTGGATCTCTAGAGCTTAGAATGGTGCCTGGCACACATAAGGCAATCAATTCTTAATTTATTATTACTTAATAACAAATATAGCATCATGAGTTGTATAGTAGAGGGAAAAACAAACAAACCTTGCCCAGAACTCTTCACATGTACTTTGTGAACCTTCAACACAAATAACTCCAGGCTTCCCAGGCATGCTAAACCCAGAAAGGGAGAGATCCTTTGCCCATTCCATAATATTTTTTCTTTTCTGTTTGTTGTAAATGTGATGGCTATAGATCCAAAGTCTTGTGAAAATGACATCTGTTGAATAAGTTGGATTTGTCTTGGTGGTAGTGGAAGATGTGGGTTCTCTCTTGATATAGGTTGATGCATGCTCTTTAACCCATTCTGTTGCATTTAGTATACAGACTTCCCCACAGTATCCTTTTTGAAGGTAAGCAGTTAGGTCTGTGTTTAGCTGGGTCTGCTGGGCTCTACTTAATGAAAGTGATCTGTTGAAAAAGATAAGCAGAGAAAATCTTTCTTAATTTCACTGTGCCAAACCTCCCAAATATTAAAAATATATTTTAGTTCTTTAATGTAATTTTTTTGGCAAAGAGTTTCTGTAACTGTTGTTGTTGTTGTATGTTCTATAACATACCTGACAGTAATTTCAGGCAGGATTGCAGGATACTGAAAAGGGAGAGCACAAGATAAAGAAAACGTAACCTGAAAACAGAGAACAATAATGTTTTAGGACTTTGTACTAACCACTGATAGGTCTCCATTTCCTTTAAAAATGAAAGTGAATTACCATAGATTCATTAGAAATCTCTACTTTTATATTTATAGTAAAGTGAACTTTTGAAGATGGAACTTCTGTGGTCCTCATTTCCACATAATCTTTCAGTTCTGCTAAAGCCAGATGATCATGTATTATGAATTCATTCTCATCAGGAAACATACTAGAGAGCAGGTCTAATTCAGACAGCTGAGCTTCAGCTTGCTTTACTTCAGTCATTTTAGGCTGTTTAGGAAAATGAGATTAAAAAAAAGATTTTTAAAACATGATTTCTGATAAAAAAAACCCAAATATAAAAGAATTAGGCCTTCTAAGTTAAATGTATTTGACTGTCATTTAAGTCTCAAATTTAAGTATAGTTATTATTTCTCCTTCACCTCAACTTAGTTCTATTTTGAGGGGAGGTCAAGGTAGTCAAACAGTGGCAGGGCCTGAGGTAGAGATTATGATCCAGGTACTAAACTTACTGGTAAGGAAGTGACTTAGAAGTCCATAGATCATAGCAATAAATCTGGCCAGAACTGACAGAGTTCTAAAGAAGAAACAGTCATTTTGGGTGAGTCACCATGAAATGTGGTGTCTTTAGGAGCACGTTAAAATTTTTAGTAGGTACTACTAGATGATGGAAGGAATCTAGGATCACGGATTTAGGAGCCAGACCTCAAAGGAAACCTTGGAAGTCATCTAAGTCAACCCTCTTTTTATAAATAAAGTTACTGATGTCCAGGAAGGTAAAGAAGCTTGCTTGCCCAAAGTCACAAGGGAGTAGAAAAGCTTTAGAGAGTAGAATGCAAATTAGGGTCTCTGACTGTAATAATTCTAGTTATCTTCCTACTTTACCACAAAAGAGAAAGATGGCAGAATGGGATGAGAGACAGAATGGTAAGGGAGATCGGAGAAGGATATTAACTAGAAGAGGGGTTGGTCTGAATTTACTATGCTAGTCCTCCTCCCCCCTTCCCCTTCCAGCTAGGCAATTCAGTGGGGAAGGAACAGGCTGTCAGAGCTGAGGGCACAGCGTGGCCCTGGCACTGATGGAGTACTGCCCCTCCAGGAAACTGGAATAACGCTGCGGAACGTCTCTGCACTGTACAAGTCTCCCTGTGCTACTTCTGATTATGGAGGAATTTTAGCTGCTTTTTTCACGCTCACCTAGGTTTGGGCGTGAATCCGATAACCATCATTCGCCCACAAACTCCCCGTTTTCCTGGAGCGCAGGCCCTGGAAAGGCCAGCGTAGACTCTGCTCTTTCAGCAAGATGGTGTAGAATTAAATATTAATTCTTTGATCCGGACCTTTGAGAGATGGCTTGAGAGGCCACACATAAATCGAGGCGCTGCAAGGTTTTGAATTAAACCCTCTCAACTCTGAATGTGTCTCAGCCACAGAACTAGAGACCCCGGAAGGCGGCAGCAAATTACCTACCCCAGGCGTGGGAAGCGGGGCTTCCGGGTCCTCTACAGTGCGCGCGCATCTCGAGGCGGACGAGTCGCACGCACCTGGAAGAATGCAAGCATTTCCTATCCCATAATGCCCCTTTCCGGAAATTAACGCGAGGCCTTGGGCTGCTCTCGGAGTAGATTTTGTCGGGCTGGAGTCGTCACTTAGAAGAGGTGGGGCCGCAGAGGACTCGCGGACTCCTTAGAGGGGCAGCTATGGGAGCAGTGTCCGTAGGTGAGTCCCGTTTCCCCCGACACGCCATCACAGCCGCTTCTCGCCCCCAAGACCGTGAGCCCCACACTCGTCGCTTCCTTTCCTTAGCCCTAGGAGCCGCTCTCTTCTGGGCCCTTTCCTCCTTCCTCGAGTTCTTTGACCAACTGCAGGCTCTTCCGTCCTATTGGCTGCGTGTTCCGTCAGTTAAGTGGATCGTCCAATGAGAGGAGTCGGCGGCGGCCTCGCCTTCTCGCTGCTGAGGCGACCACTGGGTTTGAGACCTCGGAGTTGCACCGCTGCCGGGTGGCACCGTTTGGGTGGGTTTGGGCACTGGGAAGCCACGTGGTAGGAAGAGCTTTTGTGGTCGCTCTCACGTGGTGTTAGTTCGGGGTACTCTGGCCCAGGGGAGCGCGGGACGCCCTAGATCCGAGCTGGGCACTCAGCCTCCCCGGGCCTGCTTCCTGCTCCAGATTCGGTCCTGTGATTAGACAGTCTGTAATGCCCCTTCTAACTCTGAAATCTTGGGATCCTACAACAACCCTGTGGCGACCGCACATAAGGAGAAGGCCATACTCCAGAGCTAGTGATAAGACTCCAAAGAGACCCTGTAATTATATATTAAGGGAGAACAAGTTGGCTGAGAGGGAGAGGAATGGAAAAGAAGAGGATGCAAGCCTAGACTTGTCTAACTGGTTGAGGTGTGGTGTAGGTTTCCTTAAAGATATAATTTACCTTCTTCTATAACTCTCAGACTTTATGGCATTGATAGATCTGATGCTACTATGTGACTTACTATGTATGTTTGAAGCACTATACTTGCTCTCATATGTTCTGTATAGTTCTAAAATGTTACCTACTGTATTTCTCACTCCAGGATTAACTCAGAACGCATTTATCCTCAACATGCAACAATTAAAGTTTTTGGTGGTCTAAGATACTTATATAGTGAAAAGAGTACTGGCCTGGGATCAGGGGACCCATCTGCTTCTGTCTAGCTATGTTACTCTGTATGAGTCACTTTGTAAAATTAAGGGATTGAATTTTTATTCCGTACATTTTATGGCTTTATAACTACGACAGTAAAATGAAAGATTTAGAAGTGCAAACACCTCCTTTCTTCCTTTTTCTCTTCTCTTAGACCTGATTTTCCCCTTTCCTAATGGTTCTGTCAAATGTCTCTGTTCTTTACTCACCTGATATGTACATTTTCTGTAGAATATCCTCTTAACATTTATTGAGTAGATCAATCCCAAATATTTATTCATCACCTACTATACAGTAATATTCTGCTAAATGCTGTGAGAAAATACAAAAGATAATAGAGCCTTCAGTCAACAAACATTTATTATATGCTGTTGTGTGCCAGCCACTGTGCTAGGGTTTAGAGATACAAATACAAAAATGAAACAGTTCTTTCTCCCAAGAAGGTTATACTCTCTTGAAGGAGACAATGTACACATATATAAATATGTAAAAGACGCATAAATTAGACACAAAGTAGCTTTGGATGGGAGGGCACTAGCTGCTGAGGGAATTAGGAAAGACTTCCTGCAGAAATCAGTACTAATTTTGAAGGAAGCCACGGATTCCAAGAGTTAGAGGTAAGGAAGGAAAGCATTCTAAGCATGGGGGACAGTGCCAAGAGTCAGAGATGTAAATTTGAGAATCATATCTGAAAGAAAACAAGTAGATCAATATGGCTGGACCATGGAGCAGGACTAATGTGTAAGAAGACTAAAGAGGTAGGAAGAGGCCAGGTTTTGAAGAGCGTTGAATGCCAAACAGATCCTAGTGATAATATGGAGCAACTGGAGTTTATTTAATTGATTTGGCATGGGAGGATGACATGGTCAGATTTGTGCTTTAGTAAGGTCACTGTGGTGACTGTGGAAGACAGATTGAAATGGGGAAAGACTTAGAAGCAGGGAGACTAATTACTAGGCTATTATAATCCAAGTCAGAAGTAATGAGAGCCTAAACTAGTATGGTAGTTTTGTGAATGGAGAGAAAAGGACAAAGTTAGGAAATGGGGAGATAGAAGTAAGGAGTAAAAAATGACTGCTAAGTTTATGAACTTGGGAGATTGGAGGTATAATAATAATAAAAAGAACAAGAACTAGCATTTTTAAAGAACTTTAATGTTTGCAAAACACTTTGCAAATAGTATCCCACTTTGCTTTTACAAAAACCCTGGGAAGTAGGTGCTATTATTATCTCTATTTTACAGATAAGGGAACTGAGGCAGATAAAGGTTAAGTGTCCTGGGTCACAGAGCAAGTATCTGGATCAGATTTGAACTCTGATCTTTCTGACTCTAAGTTTAACACTGTATCCATGGTGCCACTTAGCTACCTCAACAGTATTGTGGAGCCCTCAACAGTTATAGGGTTGTTTGGAAGAGGAATAGTTTTTTTTTTTGAAATGTATCCAGCTCAACTAGATTGAAATATCTAATAGGCAGTTTGTGATGTGGTATTGGCCCTCATGAAAGCATGCTGATATGGTGATCTGAAAGGATACATTTATATTAGGATACATTATCCTTTGAGAGGATACATGAGAATAAGTATATGATTTGTGTCAGTATGAATTGCACAGCAAGTGTCTCAGGAGTTCAGAAGCAAAAAGGCCAATGTGGACTGGAACAGTCAGAAAAGGTGTCTTGGGAGATTTGGCACTTAAACCTAGCTCTTAGAGGATGGGTAAGATTTGGCTAGAGAAGAGTAGGTGACATTTCAAACTGAAGGCATGGCATAAGCAAAGGAATTAGAGGTAAGAATAAATGTTATGTCGGGGGGGGGAGGGAGAAGGTTACCTTGTTAGTATTGGAAACAACATTGTATTAGGATTTAGAAGACTAGATGTAGGCCTGCTAGCTATAGCTAATGGCTATATAACATTGCACAAGTCATAATTTCCATGAGCCTCAATTTCCCTGTAAAAGTTAAGTAGTGATAGTTTTCCTTCTTGACATACATGACTTTGGGGTAGTGGGGGAGGCACAGCAAATGAATATTTCCATGACCTCATTATTACCTCGATGCAGATGATTCTCAAGTCTCACTGAGCCTGACTCTTTTTCCTAAGCTCCATGCCCAAATTTCTAGCTGTCTGTATGTGGGACATCTCCATACAGATATGGATACAGTTGCCATCATCTCAAATTCAACATGTCTAGAACTGAACTAATCATCTTTCTCCCCTCAAAAGAACAATAACAAATAAAAACCCCATTTGTCCAGCTTCCCTATTTCTACTGATACTTGTAATGGTTTGGACAGAACAAAAATTTTGGCTTATAAGAAGTTGATTATCCAGATAAGTAGGGATGTAATAAGAAGTTAACTAGCTCTGGTAATCAATTGAAAACCAAAAATCAATCTCTCCTTTGTGCTAGATACTGACTTTACACACGCAAAATTGAGATAGTCTCAGCCTTTGGAGGAGCTTATGATTTCAAATCAACATCCTCAGGTACTGAAAGAATTAGCAGATGTGAATGCTAATGGTGGTGATGATGATGATGATAGCAGCTAGCATTTTTATAGCACTTTAAGGTTTGCAGAGAGCTTTACAAATATCTCATTTTATCCTGACAACAACCTTTGGAGGTAAGTGCTGTTAGCATCCCCATTTTACAGATGAGGAAACTGAGGCAAGTAGAGGTTAAATGATTTGCCCAGGGTCATACAGGTAGTAAGTATCTGAGGCCACATTTGAACTCAGAATTGCTGGACTCTTAAATCCAGTGTTCTATCCACCTAGCTGCCTTCAGCTTTTTCCTTTTCTTTTTCCTTTTTTTCAGCATTAATAATAGACTGGTAAATCAGGGCAATTAATTAACCTATTAAGTCTTTCATGGGATCCTTGTAGACAAAGTGTATGGTGTGAGCTAAAGAGACAATACAGTTAGGTGAATTCAGAAGTTGTTGAAAGTGAATGGTTATCTCTGCTTGCATCTGTGTTTGACTGTAGGCATCTCCTTCTAACCTCAACTTTCCATAGCTCCTTTATTGCTACTATATATGGAATTATTTTTTTAAACAACTATGTATTTGTCAAACAGCAAAAATCCCTCTTCTCACCCTCCCACCTCAACTCCTCTTCACCCATTGAAAAGTAAAAAAAAAAAATCCCAGTTACAGACATGTGTAGTCAAAACAAATTTCCAGTTTGGCTATGTAAAAAATAATGTGGTCAAACAAAATAAATTTCCAATTTGGCTGTGTAAAAGAAGTCTCTTCACTCTGAGCAGGAAGTGGGTAGCATATTTCTGGAATCGTAATTATTGATTACACCGATCAGAGTTCTTAAGTCTTTCAGATTTGTTTGTCCTCACAATACTGTTATCAATGTTGTAATCATTCTCTTGGTTCTGTTCACTTCATTTTGTCTCAGTTCATGCAAGTTTTCTCAGATTTCTCTGAAACCAGAGAATGAAAGCACCCCACTCCACCATTTCTTACAGCACAATAGTATTCCATCACATTTATGTAACATTAATTGTTCAACCATCCCCCAGTTTATTGACACCCACTCAGCTTCCTATTCTTTGCCACCCAAAAAGAGCTTCTAGATTTTTTTTATAATGCTTAGAGTTTGTTTTGTTTAGGACTAATCTCTCCCTTAAATCCACCCTTTTTCTAATTCTTCCACCCCCTATCTTTCCCTTATATTTCACTGTTAAGTAAAATGTGGGTGGTTTTTTTGTTCTTTTTTAACAGTTTGAGGAGGGATAAAAAGGTTTGGAAAAGCCACCATGGCGA